CTTGGTTGAAATATTTCTCTGGGTCAACACAAGTGGTTCGCATAACTGCAGCATAGTCACAGAAAGTGTACCTAAGCCTCGAATAGCAGTGAGGGAGCGGTGTAGCTGTTACAAGTGTAAAAAGCACAAAACTACAGGCAACAATCCACAGAATGTATGTAAATACTACTGTACGTGTATTTGTTAAATAACTATGATACTGAAGAGGACAAATTATAGCAATTAACCGATCAAATGCCATAATTGTTAAAGAAAACCTCTCCATTGTTGCTCCCACCTGGTAAACATACATTTGAATTAAACACTCCACATATGATATGGTATTAACACCAGCAAGTAGAACCCCGATCATTGTTGGAGTGGCACTAGAGGTATAGAAGATGTCAACAACAGCAAGATTGCAAATCAGAAGATACATTGGTTTATGTAACTGCTTGTCAGAAACAATGAAGATGATATTGACCAAACTTGCCAAAACAGCTAGTAAATAGGTTATCAGCATAACCACACCAACTGCTACAGGCATTTTGACTGTGTCAAAACCACCTATAATAAAATGTGTTAGTTTGATTGAAGCATTCTGTAAAGACATATTTAACAAATATTATGTTACAAAAATTATCAGATGCAGTTGAAGAAGTAAAGATATGCTGTTAACAGTGATAAACAGTTGTAAAAAAAAGAAAAAGAATTTTAACCCTATTAAATCCAAACAGGTTTGGGTTAACCCAAACCTGTTTGAAAGCACACAACAGTGCTTTCATATTTTAAGTCTCACAACAACAGGAAGTCTTAACTTGGCAGCTCCCTTATCAAATCACGCTGGATATCAATTGTCTGTGTTTACATATCACCAAAGACTGCAGATTACATCATGTATGATGTCACCCCCACCCTCCAAAACCAGTGGTAGATGAGGATAGTTTTAGGATAATTTTAAATTACACTAATTCTATTTACATACAGTAACTCAGCACAAAATGCTACAGGGCAATGTTCCCTCTAATTTTTAATGTTTTTAAGCTAACACACAAACTCCCTGAGCGGCCCCTTAGATCCACTGTGAGCAACAGCTGACATGTGCGCTGTGGTCCAGCCAGCATCGAATCCATCCAAGCTACATGGTTTATTAAAATAATAAAAATTACAGCATTTAAATTTATGTTAGACTACTTTTAATTAACTGATTTAGCCCACTTACAATGAAAAGTTAGAAAAGAAATCTTGTTCGTGACCTTTGTAGTTGTTGTAACACTATTGGAAGTAAAAATAACTTGAACTCCAATTTTAGAAAACAAAACTTTCTTTCTTTTTTTTCATATAAAGCTCTGACTTGTATTATGAGTATGAGTCTGTGGTCTGGGAGAGAGTCCTGTAACTCTCCGTCTGCAAAATACAGTATATAATGACCAATGTTGGGAAAATAATTATATAGTTACTTCTTCAAAAAAGTCACTGAGTTATGGAAACAACAAAGTTTTTTTCAGCTGTTTACCTAAAAATGTAGCCAAGGAGTTTTTTTAAATAAACTTTTCAAACTATTTACAGAACAATCAGGTGTTCTGCATCAAATTTGATGTCTGCCATACTTCGCGGAAACAGACCAGGCTGGCCTGGACGCGGATATCGAGAAGATCGAAGGATTGCGGTGGTGGGTTTCCATGGCAACGACTGGAGCCGCTCCAGCGCTGTTTGTGGACTCTGGTGCCGTTCTCTGTTTGGCCCTTCGTCGTGGCTCCATTAGATGTGCGTGGACCTGCTTTTCCTGAGCGTGGGATTGATGCAGCTTTGCCATAGTACCTGAAGTTGCATTTTTTATTTGTTTCGTGCTGGTTACTGTTGTAGCATGAGTGTTTAAGTTTTGTACAATTCTTCCTGGTACTGTTTTCACATATTATGCTGACTCTTACAGTTTTTGAAGAAAAAAAAAAAAACAACGAAAAAGAGGGAATTTCATTCTGTAATTGTCCTGACTATCCTAAGTTTCTATAATATGGCCATTTACCATGTGGGACACTGTCATGTATGCCAGTTTGTCCATATTGCACTGTACATTTCCCTGTTTT